TAAACTATAAGGTTATAAGGAAGTATCTACTTTATATTTCTAGTTAAAGATTATTAGAATAATATATTATTAATAACTAGTAATTAGCATTACTATTGAATTAATTTAAATAGTTAATTTATATCCCCGGTTTAGTGAATTGGTTAATTCTCTAATATTAATTAGCGTAGTATTAATCCGGTTCTAGACGAATAGAAATTCAGGAAAAATAGAAAAAGAATTATAGCTATATTTTTAAAGAAAAGCATAAGCTACTAACTAACGCCTATAACAGGAACCGAACGTATAACATCTAACTATAATAGTTAGCAGTATACTATTATAATATATAGCCTATAGCTTATAATTATATAATATATATCGTATTTCTATATACCTTCATAATAACTACTATAGTGATTAGTATAATAGTTTCTATCTAGGAGCTAATAATAGTAGTAGGAAACTATTTAATTTATAGTATCTGCCTCGTATAGTAATCTAAAGTATCTACTATCCTCCTTAATATATAGTTTACTACCCTTTTCTGCTACCTTAATTACCTATTATCAGCCTTACGGTATTTAAAGCCCGTCCCCCTATACCTCTTAAGTTATAGTTTAACGAATATAGATCTAATACCCCGCCTATTATAATATAGCATAATAGGGAGTCTACTTATACCGATTAAGTTTATATAAAGAGATCTAAAGAAAGGACTTCCTAGATTAAGAACTATAGAATATTCGTTAATAAGATTTATTATAATACTTCGTATAAGAACTACTCTTAGGTTTACTACTATTATAATTAACAAGGTAGTTTCGTAAGGCTATTTAAGGCCTTATATATAAGACTACCTCTATAATAGGTATTCTATACTCCTATCCAACGATTCTAATATGACTATAGGCTCTATTAATTCTAATAGTCTATAAAATATATAATAACCTTCTAGGATAATTACTATCTCGAGGAGCTAAGCCTTTTAAGTCTCCTAAGCCTCTTAATTAATATCTATCTAAGGAGGTTATATATAGAATAGCTACAAGGCTTTAGTAACTAGTTTAAGGATATATTTTAGACTCTTTATAATAACTATATAGTAAAAGCTAACGATTATTATACTAACCTAAAAGACTTATTTCTTTATACTACGGCTATAATACTATACCCGAGGCTTAGCCTTACTTAGTTAGAAGAGTATTAGACTATAGAATACTAATAACCTTAGTTAGTAATACTAAAAAAGAGCCTACTAAGTACTAAAAGAGGTAGAATCGCTACTAGTAACCTATAAAGCAGGGTAATAATAACTATAGCAGTTTAGGTAGCGATAGTAACGCTAGAAGATAATAGCTACTATATATAATAGATTTAGGATAGCGCTGAGTGCCTAGCGACTAATAAAGACTCGGAGGTTAAGAGATATCTACGCCTAGATATCTAAGGCGTTAAGAACCTAATTAAGTAGTAGTTATATTAATAAAAGGCCTTCTTATCGCTTAGTTAGCTAGCTTATAATATCTTTATACTACTAGCGATAGTAATAGACTATACAAGGACGTTTAGTCTAGTAAAGCTAGCTTTAATAAGCTAGCAATAAAGGATATTACTAATAATGCTTAAAGCTATTAAGAGTCTAAAGATCTAGCTCTATTAAGGTCTAGTTACTATAAGTAGTTTAAGAGTAAGAGTAGTATAAATAAGAGTATTATAATCTAATAGGTAATATATAATCTGTGACTAGCCTTACTCTTAGATATTTACTAACAGGGCTAGCTATATTAATTTAATTAATTAATTACTAATTAGTTAATTTCACGGCGTCGAAACTAATAATAAGTTAATTATATACCCTTAATTCGATTGAAATAATCGAATAGTAATAAGACTACTAAAACTAAGATATTTAAGTATATTATATTAATAGCTTTATTCTATATATATTAAGGATATTTCCTAGGTCTAAACCTATATTTAACATAATAGTACTTAACCTAAATAGTACTAAGAGAGGCTAATAACTCTATTATACCTATTATTTATATAAATTAGACTAATAGCTAGACTAATAGGAGTAAACCTCTTTAAATATTAAAGGATATAGTATATAACTTAAAACGAGTATAGTAAGAGTAAGACGCTTTTTATAATAGTATAAAATATGGAAGCTATATAGCCTTAGTTCTATAGTTTTATACTTTTTAGAGTCTTAGTAAGATTAATTACTTTTATTTAAAGTAAGGTATAGAGGTTTTCCCCGGGTTGTACCTGGGTTTTCCCCTCTATAGCCACCCGAGAAGGAGCGTATAGCCTAGAAAGGCTCCTATAGATTAGTTAGGATAGCGGAGTAAGATCGATAATAATAATAAGAATAATTTAAAGTAAGGTTACTTTATTATCTTATAAGTATATTATATTATATACTTAAGTAATATATATATATATATATATATATATATGTATTATCTTTTTACTAATAAAAAGCCTCTTAAATATAGTAGTATAATAAGTAATAATTAGTTAACTATATTACGTATAATATTAGTAGCTCTAACTATCTTTTATACTATAACTTATAAGATATCTAATACTACTAAGACTACTTATAGTACTAGTAATAAGTAATACTATACGTTATATAAGAATAAATTCAGAAATAAATATAAGAATAAGTATATAGTTAAATATAAGTTATCTTTTATTATTTAAATATATAATCAATAATATAATATAATAAATAAGGTATTATACTATTTACCTTATATATATATATATTTTTTATTATTAAAGCTTATTTTCAAAAATTAAAATAGGTATTATTATTTACTATATAAAAGCTAAAGAAAAGGTAGGTTTTTTTAAAAAAAAATTACTTATTTTCCTCTTAACATATAGGTTAGTATATATCTATAAAGCTCTATACGGGTAAGAATAGTAACTTACTACGGTCCGCCTTATTCTTAAGCTATCGCGCTATCTCCCGAAGGCTGCGGGGCGATATATCCGGGCTATTAGTATTATTAGTATCCTCCATAGTAGAGGCGCGGCGCTTTTTATTCTTCGCGACTATAAATCTAATTAGTATAGTTCTATGCAGAGTTATAGAGAGCTATAGGGTATCTTATAGTATAGCAAACACTTAGCTCCTTCCGAGCCGCTATAGTAATTACCGTAGGCTCCGTTCCTAAAGCCGTCTAAGGTAACGTAGCCCTCTAAATTACTGCGCTCGTCCTAGCACTTTTCGTAGCGGTTATCGTTAAACTACTCCTGGCTAAATAGCTAAATAAAAAACCCCGTAATAGCCTACGGGCGTTTTATATCGAAATCGGGTAATTTTATTTCACCCGCCTTTTCGTACTTAGCTAAAGTACGATTCCGCGCCGGATCTATTTTATATGTGAGTATATAGTGCTGTATAGGGGTATACAGTAATATACCTCCGGCGTTTTCTTTACTATATACCTAGTAATATCTTTTAAGTATCTATTCTTAATTACTATCGATCTATTAGCTTAGTCCTAATACTATAGACACACACAGATACGTATAGTCTAGTATATATACAGTTAGTTACTTCCCCTTTATACTAAAGGACTGTATTACGGGCGCGGGAGGGAGTTCGTCGCTAGTAATCGTATTTAGCCACTACACGCGACGCGTATTAGCGGCTATATTACGAATTATCTTTATATTTATCTATATAGATTTATAATTACCTGTATGGTATATCGCTATCGTTAGCTAACTACCTAATAATAAGTCGTATAACCGTAACTTATAAAATAGCTTTAAAGATAAGAATACTAGTAGATCTAACCCTATAGAATCGAATCCCGATATCTGATTTAATACTATAGCTCTATATAAAATGTATAAAGGTTTACTTACCTAACTCGTTATTAGTTATTTAGAGAGGAAAATAAAATTAGTGTAGGCGTGGCGTTATAGTAGTATAGGGGCACGAAAAAATTTCTAGGCTTCTAATTAGATAGCTGGCCTAGGGCTATACTACTAAGGTGCTCTACGTGCTACTAGCATACCACTATATACGAGTCTGTATACCCCTGTACGGGCGTCTGTCTATGATTTTTTTTGGGATTTTTGGAAGTTGAAACAGACCGTCCTGCCGCTTGCCGTAGAAACGTCATCAAGTCCCGGGAAGTCGAGTCGGCAATGGGAGGTGGGGCCGATCTGGGGGAGGCGGTGGGGTAATAGCTGCACGTGACATTGATATGATGACAAATTCTCCGTTGGGATGATTCTCCATTGGGTATTATCACCAACTTCATTTCCAAATCGTCTTTTTACGAAGCTTATTATTATTATTGATTATACGGCTGATTTCCTCAAACGTACTTTATATAAACCTGGCAGTCCATCTAGCACAACCGGCGTTAGCTAGCACGTGTCTATGTGCACGATGGAAACTCATTGGGCGCCCTAACCTTCATATTGCGGCAAGGCTGAGACGATGTAGCCTCGGCTAGGCAAGTGTCTCATGATGGTAACGACACGCCAGCCTCCTGGAAGAAGCAAGTGAGCCTGTGTCAGCTCGACCATGCGTGTCTCGATAGAAGGAACTTACTAGTTCGAAGACATCCCTCGAAGATGTGCACTCCGCCAGTCCTGAAACCAATTTCTCTCACTTCCGGGGGTTTGGTCCTGGGAGGTAAACGGAACCGGAAGAATAAACACGACCCCTAGGTAACCCAGCCAGTCAACGTATGAAATGCCGTGGAATCAGGACCCTGTGTGGTTCTTATACCCATCTACTTTTACAGCTTTTTTCCAAGTTACGACTCGCTTGATATGGAAAGAGGTCAAGTCAACCTCCTTCCTCGCAGGCACTCACATACATACCCTCTTTACTCGTGGCCTGCGGACTTCCACATTCGTCTTCATCCTAGTGATCTTTTTTTATTATTTTTTCTTCCTTTCTTCTTACCATCCACGCCTCGTCTCCCTCGGTGTTGTGGAACGCCTCATAGTTGCGCCTTATCTGTTCTCAACTCGCCAAACCTCTTTCCGCCTCGGGGGGTTGCCAGAATTCCGTGCATTTCCCACAGCTTCTTGATATTTCTTCTCCAGAGAAGTTTTATCCAGTATCTCCCTTTCAGTGCAACCAAGCTAACTGGGAACTTTAAAACGCCTTCTCATCAAGACAGTTGCACCCAAGCCCGTTCACGGCGAATGGGCCCCCAATGAACCGCAAACGACCCGTCTTCCACCAAAGAAAAGGTAGAAGTCTCGACAAGACCGCCGAAAGCGCAGGCAGTCCTATCCAGGGGTCATTTATACCCGTCTCGTCTAATCGGACCCGGTCCCTGTCCCCCCGGAAACACATCTCAAGACAATCCGTCCATATCAACATGAACTTGACTGAGTATCAAATGGACAGGCTCGCTGATGCGTAAGACGTGGCCCCCTTGCCTCACATGCCCCAAAAGCAAACCCCTTTGTCTTCTTGGTCCTGGCTAGTTTAGTGACTAAACCTTGTCGCAGATTTTCCAACTATGGGAATAGTCCCAACCGAAATTTAGCTACGGACGACCGTGACAATGCAGACCATTCATCCCACAAGTCATCTCACAAGACTCGCTCTACTGCTGGCCATAGCGACCAGTTTCAAGCTGCCAATGGGAAGAAAACTTCGTCTTCCCGCTCTCGCATCCCGGTTCCCGCAGAGCTTGGCGAGTATGAGCAGCTGCGTGACGACGAGGGTCAAGAGCTTGCTACCCGCGGCAGCTTCTCGACTACCTTCTCCGACCCGATGCCTCGGGCTCAAGGCCAAAGCCAAAGCCAGGCTGAACTCGAGGCCACGTCCTCCATCACTGCCGAAGATGCGAGAAAGTATGGTGCATACACATCAGTGTACCGGTCACGGGCCGTCCCCGCCGCCTCTCACCCCTTAACCCCCGACCGGCTCCTTCTGCAGCCCATGGAGGAAGAAGACGACACGTTCTCCTCCTCGTTCTACTCTCAGTTCGATCAACCTACTGTCACCCATGCCGGGGCACTGCATCCACAGAAAGGTACCGTTTCACGACAGATTGACGATGTCATCCAAACCTGTAACCAATGGAAAGGGGCAAAGACGTCCCCGGTTCGTGAACGGGAAAATCCGCTTGTCAATCCCGTCGCCCAGGGCGCCAAGTTCGATGCCCTGCGACAGCCGGAACCCGACATCAACGCTTACTCCCCACTCATGACGTACTTCGCCTTCGAAGGCCTACCGGTTCAGAAGATAGGCGGCAAGACTCTGATCGGGGAGCAGGGCTGGTTGGAACGACCAGGTGCCACCAATACTACTGCTGCCGCCGCTGGGACTAATAAGCAAAAAGCCGCGTCGCCGAAGAAGGCCGGCCTCGGTCTGTTGGACAGCATCAAGAAAATGGCCAGGGAAATGGTGAGCCCCCTATCCTGTCTTTCCTCTTCCCTTTGTGTCTTTCGTTTCCCCCCATCATGCCCCACCACCACCACCCGCCTCCTTTTTCCAAGGCCCCTCTACACACCGGTGAAAGAATTGACTGACGGTCCTCGCGTCCCCAGACGGAAAGCAAGACAAGCCGACGATCGCGCGAGTCCGACAAGAAAACCAAGAGATCCTCATCCCGGATGACCATCTCGCTAGACCCCCGCGAGCAGAGCCTCCTCTACTGCGAGCTCGAATTCCACATCAGCAACGCCCTACACGCCTACATCACCAACGAGCTCAACCACGGCCGGCTGGACCCAGACAAGCTGAAGCGGGTCGCCGACAGCTGGGCCGGCAAGGGGCGTCCCAAGGTGGTCGGGTTCCGCTACGACCTCGAACGCAGCTCGACCTGGTGCACCTGCACCTGGACGACTTCCGCTTCTTCGGCCGCCGGCAGGGCAACCCGCTCGAGATCGCGGGGCTGCTGCACGCCATGAAGGTCAACGCGCGCGCCATGCGCATCCGCACCTTCTGCCAGCCCGATTCGGTCATCGCGAAGCAGCTCGTCGATGCCCAGGCCCTGTTCAACACCATTGGGTGCTCCGACCACCAGCTCATCGCCCTTGCCGAGGTGGCGCAGTTCTTCAAGGTCATTGTCGAGCGGGAGCTGCATGATCGGGAGAGGCTGGAGAGGTTGGGTGCGGGAACCTCCGACTCGATGCCGGCTGAGGGGGCACCGGCGTCGGCGTCGGCGCCATCGCGGGCTACGGCTGCGGGTAAGGCGACTTTGTTCTCACCTTCGTCGCCTTCGCGCGGTCCGAGTCGCAAGGATCGTCAGTGGGAATCGGCACGCCGTCAAGGCGATCTCTCGGAGGGGAGGGACCGGTCGTGGTAGTTGATAAATTCTGTACGACCGGAGTGTCGATGATCCGGCGTCGATAGCGTTGTCTTGGGGTTCAATAAGCTGCTTCCGGACGGTCGGCTGGCTTGCCTGAACAGGAAACAGTGCCGTGCCACAGGGTGTTTTCTGAACCTCGCGATGTAGTTACTAGTAGTACCAAGTTGTAATAATCGTAATAAAAGTAATTCGGGCATATGGACAGTTCTTCAGATCAGAATCTATGTGTGATTTTCACATTTCCCGTCCCCTAACTAGGCAATTCGCTTATTGTCGCACCACACCTATGAAATAATTTCAGACTCGGTTGGGGAGTCCATTCAACACAGTTCAATACTCGAGTGGCCAAAAAAAAAAAAAAAAGGGCCCCGACAGAGGTCTGTTAATACCTAGTACAAATTCGGGCACAACGCAGTATAGGGGTACCCAAAGTTGTACCCGCAGCTTCTACCGTTCCACAGCGAACATCAGCCCCGTTTCTTTGTAACCTATACTGGTGCCCGGTACCTTGGCCGCCCTACTAGCTTCTCCCACGTCGGGGCGGACCATCATACGCAAGATTGCCGTCGTCCAGGGTGTCGACGACGACCCTCGGTCGCGCATATCTGCTACCCCGTTCCGGCTCCTCGTAAGCAGAGGGCGGCCCGCGCGGAGCCCGAGACTTGTCAGGGCGGTGATAATGAGGCGGAGGAGGAGAAGGACGGCGACCATGATGGTGGTGACGATCGTTCAACCGGTCCGTCGGGCCCCACTTGCGCTCCCACGCCCCCTGCTGAGCGCGGTGCCGTTCGCGGGCGTTTTCGAACCGTCGCTCCAACGCGTTGGCGCCGAGACCACCCACCAAGGCGCCTACAACCGTGGAGACCAGACGAGACGTCCTCTCGTCTTCGTCGTCGTTTCTGTGATGATTCCCGCCGCGGCCTGGATGACGGTGACGGACGGGAGACGAGCCGGAAGAGGAGGAGTAGGGGGAGCGGGGGGAGTACGGGGAACGGCGACGGGGTGGGGGTGGTGAGGAGGCAGTTCGGTGACGCCTGGCGCGGGCGGTGTCGTTGACCTCGCGAGCCGCAAGGCCGCCTACCACGGCGCCCAAGAGCCCGACGCCCAGTCCCGAGGGAGTCTGCGAGAAGGTCCTGTCGGCGGCGTCGCGAGCCTTGTCGATGGGCCCTCTCGTAGTAGATTTAGAGCGGGATGGGCGGCGGACTCGGGACCTGGATCGTGGCGAGGGGGATTTAGCGTGATGGCGGTCGATGGAGGGTGGATCTGGCACGGCTGGCGGTAGTGGCGAAGGGCGGTGGCGGAGCTGGAGATCTCTGGAGACCACGTCGTGTTCAGGAGGGAGAGATCTCGGTCGGCGGTTGGAGGTAGGAGGAGCTTGCAATCTGTCCGGATTATGGTGTGGCGATGAAGGATATATAGAGCTATCGTCATCATCGTCTGGGAGGGGTCCTCGGGGGTACGGAGATGCGTGCCGGGGCATATGGCCACGGCCACGCGGAGGTTCCTCTACAGGATCTCTGTCGTAGTTGTATCTCGACATGATTATTTTGGGCGACGGATAGATTATGGAAATGTTCGAAGGAAATGAAGTGAAGCCGTATTCAGGCCTTGTAAGCACCAGACCACGCCAACAAGGTAGGTAAGGTACTTAGAGCAGACGGGAGTGAAGGGTGTTGGTTAAGAAGTATGTATAGTTATGGTATGATGGATGAGACGAAGATTTGATCTTGACTTCTTCCACTTTTAAATCAGTTCAAATGTTTAAAAACCCATGATTCCGTGGTCATGTTGCCATGCCGTCGTCGCATACACGGAAGATTTCGTGGGTCGTAGTCTGCAGTGCTGGAGAGCCTTTTGGATTGATCGTTATATGAAGTGAAGTTCGGGAATGTAGCTTCCTGAAAAAGACACTGAAATTGTCGCATCACCTCACTTATATCGACAAAAGTCATGTTTGGACTTCCAGCTCGAAAGTCGTACGTCGCAAGTTTATCAAAAGGGGGAGGGGAGGGGGGAGAGAAGGAGATGGGATGGGGGGTCCAACTGGCAGGAGGTTCAGTTGGCGTATTGACGTCATACCTCCTTGCCTAGTACGTGTACTAGTGTAGTATGAAATGAGGCTGGGCAGGCGATTTGCCTAGAAAGAAGACAAAGGGGGGAACGGCTAGGAGACAACTACCTTATAAGGGGCGGAATACATAGCATAAGGTAGATAGTATGCATAATAAGGCAGTGCAAACAATAAGGTAATCACCCATGATCCGTCATAAGCCCAACAGGGGGTCTATGACGCAGGAACACTCCCTCTTTTTTGAACCCCCTTCATAACATCTCGAGTCGCCAAATACGGATACCAAATACGGATACGATACGCACTTTGGTACTGACCGAGCGACCAGTCTGGTATAGAAAGGACATGGAGTCATCTCTCTCACCATGCGATGATAAACCTGTCTAATCCGCATTGTGTACCGACTGTCGCAACTCCTCCGCCAGCCGGTCCGCGTAAAACCCCGCCGCCTCCCTAGGCAGCTTGCACAGGCTACGCGCCAGTTTCGCGACGTCTTGTCTCCCTTTTTCATACGGCCCTAGATCGCGATTCCCGTAGATATCTCGCCCTGTCGCATACCACCCGGCTGCCATACTCCGGAAGAAGACGTTGACCGCCACGCTAAGCTCCCCTGGCCTAGTTGTCGGTTGTGCCGTGTGGAGCCATAGCGGGGGCAGATAGAGGATGTCGCCGGCGCCGACCGCCGCTTCGTGCGGGTGAACCCCCGCGTCGCCGTCGGTCCCGTCGCCGTCGGTCCCCAGAAGGCCTTGTTCTAGCGCTCCGAAAACATCCACGCTCGAGCTGGACGCTCCTGGAGCGAATCCTAACCGCGTCAGATCGCCCGGTGGGAAGAGCATCAATCGCTTGGTCCCCTTCACCTGAACATACACGTTGGCCATAACCTGTTTGGGGGGGGGAGGGGGGGGGGGGTTCTCGTGTTAGCTCTCGGAAATGGAACCCCGCCTTCTTGCAATTTGCCTTACATCATAATGCAGCCACATGTTCACCGGCCCCGAGATGCGGAGTATCGAGCTGAACTCGTTGTCCGAAACGAACCCAAGTTCGGTCGGCAGACGAAAGTCCTCCGCCAACCCTGGGAAGTCGGTCTCGAGTTTCGCCGCCACGTTGGATGGCTCTGCCGCCGACAATGCCCGCAAATACACCTTGCGGCCCGCTTGCGCCTCACGGATAAGTTCCTCAAAGCTCATCGTCGCGTAGCTAAAATTCTTGGCGTTGAAATCCATCTTCTCCGTGGTCGAGTCGTGCACCAAGACCTATGCCGGGGCGAAATATCATTAGCCATTCACGTATCCACCCAAGTCGGGTTCTTTTAGAATATGCCCCCGCTTCGTCTTCGTCTTCTTTTTTTGTTTTTCCCTTTGCTTTCTTACCTTTCGGTGAGCCCCGACTGTGCTGACCAGGTATTCTGGCGTCCACCTGGCCACGCAAGACCCCACGTCTACCCCCTCGATGATCACTGGCTTTCCAGTTTCGAGGATTTGGTTAAACTCTTCCTGCGACGCGACTTTAACGCGCCGGACTACCACCGTAGTCGATTGGGACGAGTTGCCGCTCGTAGTCTTCCCTCTACTTTGGGCTCCCTGTACAACGACGTCAGCAGCAGCGACAATCTCCGTCGTTTGCAGGTACGTCGCCGGATTCGCAGCCATCCTACCACCGGTTGCCGCCGGCGGCGGCGGCGGCGGCGGCGTGTCTTTTCCGAGCCTGACAATATCCGCATGGACGGTATAATTTCCCTTGGACCAAAAGCTCCCCATAGAGAAACATGTCATTCCACCCCCCAGGATGCTGAATGTGTCTTCCCCATTCCCGACCACCGAACCACCGATGCTGAAGGGACGGAGAGACCGGGCGTTGTCTTTGTCCACGAGCCGGGCCACAGCCTCGAAGCCAGAGGACGTGCCTTTCAGAACGAGCATGTCTGACTCCCGAGGTAGCAGACATCTGGCCACCACACCTCCCAAAAGAATGGAATGCTCGCCCTGCGGAATGCAAAAAGCACCAAACCTGTGAAGAGTCTGCTGCTCAGCATTGCCCTCGCCTGGCTCGACGCTGCAAGGCCTAAGCGCTAGGAGAGGCTGCTTGTTATTTCCACATCAGCAACTGCGCGATACAGGTAATCATGGAGTTTGACACTACAGAAGCGTGGCACTCACCTGTGAGTCCGCCAAATCCAGCTTCCACGTATAAGCTTGTTCGTTCAGTATGCCATCCTCGAGCATGCCCCCATAAAGAAGGCCTCGATACGATCCAGGCTCGGAATTCGGCAGCTCCGTCAAAACCAATCCGAAGAGCGCCGGCAGTACCCCCTGCACCCGACATCTTACCCACCCGTTCTCCGGGTGATAGAGGTAGAAATGCGAGGACGCCGAATGGTGGTTGGTCTTCCCACCTGCCAGGAGCGCGAGAGCTGACGAGCCCAGCCTGAGGACCGAGTGTCTGAACAGAGGCACCGGCAGATCGTGCACTCTCTCCCACCGATTCACTACTTTCTTGTACAGCCAGCAGTCCTGGAGGGCAGCGGCAGGTGAAGTCCGGCCGCCTACGAGGAGTACACCCAAGGCTCCCAGGTCCGTCAGTGTATGGCACACTCTCGCAGACGGCCCGCCGAGCTGCGGCCCTGGCAAAAGAGGCTGCTGAGCTGATCCGCCGGCTGCACCGTGAATATCGCAGCTTCCAAGTCTCGACCGAGGTCCTTGGCCCATGACATTGTAAATAAGGCTCTGGCCATAAAGGTCTTCGGTCAGCATGGCGGCAGCGAAGCGTCGTTGCCCTCGGCCAGACGGATAGTCACGGAAGGTCATGGTCGCCGGTAGTGGTGGAACGCCAGAGGACGACGACGGACTAGAATTCGGCCGGCATCGCCTGGTCGACTCTTCAGTTTCCTCCGACGGAGTCTTGGTGCGTGCCAGAACAACAATGTAGTGGCTTGCGAACAGAGAGAGCTCCTCCCACTCGTCGAAAGGCTCGACATGATCCAAGCTCTTACGCTCAGCCGAGGACATGAACTGTCCGTCTGACCACGCCTCCCATAAAGTCCAACTTTGGACGTCGGACCAGCCTCGGCTGACGAAGCGCTCCTCTTGACTGTGTACGGTGGGATATTGCAGCACTGATCTCAGTGGCGTCTTCAACTTGTCGAAGTGCTTCAGCATGGTCTGCGCGAAGGGGTGATCGGGGCCGTCGGGGAGGATCTGCTCCAACAGACAGAAGTTGGCTGTCACAAGATGGACGGGTCAGGCGGGTGTATGCATGGATAAGGTAGGCAAAAGAAAAGGGCTTTACGAGAAAGCAAAGCAACACAATTCAGGGGCGGGGGTTTTGAGCAATGGTGTACTACCGTTCCCGAGCGTGCCTGCCCATTGAATGACTTGATCGGCGGCAAGTGTCTCCAGATATGTGATGGACACCTCAGCTACGAAGAGGAAGCTTCCTTCGGCAGCCGGCGAACCGATGAGGGTTGATAGACAATCTCGAAGAAGATCAAGCTGGCGCAAATCACAACCTATTTGGCAATACTTCTCACTTCGCAGGTAAATGGGCGAGCTCTCGGCGCCGACCCGGTGCGATCCCAACAGCTGACGCAGCTCCGGCGTACCGAGAACCACCTTGCGTTTCTTGTCCATGAGATCAGGAAAGTCAACGTCGACAAAAAGGACGTCTTGGGACAGCTCGGGATACCGCGTGTTGCATTGCCAAGGCAACACGTCGCTAGGAGAGGAACGCAAGGACAAGCGGTCAGCAGCTTCAGAGGGACAAGAGGCAAAGTGAGAAAGAATCCCAGCGCAGCGACTCACCTGCCGCAACCGAGGTTGACAACGACTTTCTTGCGAGACGATGGCTCCTCGAGAAATTGGCGAACAAGCGTATCGATGACCTTGAGGCGGAGAAGGTAGCCCCGATTTATCAGGGGGGCTCTGCGTTGGAACTTGTTGACAAAGAACCGGAAGAAGTGCGGCTCCTCTGGGTAATATAGCCTCTCGACGCTACGTTTTGACACAATCGAGCTGCTGTTCGTCTATGGCCCGGCGTATAAGTGCGAGTTGTTACACAGGAGGCGGGGGGGAGGTTCGATCCCTCCACGAGATCTTGCGTTGGGACTCACCCCCATGACCAAGTCGTCCGGACTTGGCTCTTGTAAACAGCCATCTTGCTCAGGTTTCTCAGCCGGAGCTATCATCGCCGAAATTTTATGTAAGTTGAGTCCGGGAGGACAAGTGTCGCGGTCCTGACTTCCCACCCTGCGAGGCTGCAAAATGTTCCCCGTCTAGATGATGACGGGGTTCCTGTACCCGTATGTCTGCTGGCTATTTAGCGTTGCGTTTCGTTCTTTCAAATCTACAGCTCAGGGGAACCCATCAAGTTCAAGCCTTCAACTTGACAGATTAGGTGGTGAGAGCGATGAGAGATGAGAATCTGAAGCTACAAAGTGAGAAGCGACGACGACTACTCGGATGAACGTCGCGATCTTTTTTCCCGACTTGAGAGTACGGTACGTACCTACCTGTATGTTCGTACCGTATGAAGTACTTGGTACAACCCCTCAATTGTGGGCACAGGCCACTAAAATATAGGGTAATACGGAGCACACCTGCTGTGAGAGCACATATAAGGTACGCGGAATTAAGGTATGGGTGTATTCATCTAAGTGAAGTTCGTAGTACTTCACGGGGATATCTAACTAGGTATTAGGAAAAATAAGGGGAAATAAGTGTGGACATTTAGGATTAAGGTACTCTATAAGTCTGGATATATTATGGTTTATCACACCTCGATAAGGTGGCTAAGGGCATCTGATAGCTGTAGTTGGCTGGATGCTGTTATGTTTTGTATGTACCTTATACCTACGGATACAGGCTGTAAGGTATTCTACGATGTACGAATATGAGCTGCTCCTGGAGCTTTATTGACGTCGACGCACAGACCAATCTGCTTGTATCGTGGAGCACTTGTACTGATGGACGCGTTGACGCAGAGAGGGTACATCCCTACATAATAAGGTACCTTACCTTGGGTACACTTATTCAGAGCGGTACCTGTATAAACACGCTTGTTCAGCATCAAATATGGCCTCTGTTACCTCGCCGTTGTATCCATCCACCACCAAAGTCCAGGCTTTTCTTGAGCCTCGGACGACAGAACTTCCTCCATTCTGGTCTGTAACAACTAATTATATTTCTTTTCTTTTCTTTTCTTTTCTTTTCTTTTCTTTTCTTTCGAAATTTCCGTTCAAAACCACGAAACCACTGTTCGAGAAACGTTGCAACGCACACCTCATATTGGCCCTTGCTCTATTTACTTGTTTGTCAGAACTTATCAGCCCAATATTGACCGAGATAACTGTCCATACCTTAGTGTGACCTTGGACAATCAAACACCAATTCCCGAACCAGAGCCTACCGCCGCCACATTCAACACCTAACTCTTATCCGGATTGCCACCCCGAGCTTCATAATGCGATAGGGAGCTTGATACGAGAAGAAAAACAGGCGGCTTTATACTTTTGAAGAATATTGTTCCGCTGTCCCGTGCAACAAGGGGGCACTTTCGACTCTTCTCTCCTCCGTCTCCAACCTCCCATTATCTGTCTGCCTACCTATGACCTAAGGGCATAGCATACAATCACAGCTCAGTGGCCAACGGCCTTGCACGATTCGATCACGGGATCTCAGAAGCCGTTTCTGAAAACGCGGAGAATAAAAGCCGACCGACACCGACACTTCTGATACCACCCTTTTCAGTCGACTTCGTCGTTCCCATCGTCTGCAGTGCGTCAGGACCCCGTCCTGGGAGACGAACATGGCTGCCACAACTCTCAACTACATAAACTTCAACCAAGACCACAGCTGTCTGGCTGTCGGTATGTGAAAGCTTCCGATAATTCATTGCCGTCTTTACCGTCTTTACCGTCTGACGCTGACTAACCCCAAACCCACCGACGCGTTCCACAGGCACATCCAAAGGCTTCCGCATCTACCATACCGATCCGTTTTCCAAGATCTTTAGCAGCGATGATGGGAACATCGGCATCGTTGAGATGCTCTTCTCCACCTCCCTCGTCGCCCTCATCCTTTCTCCCCGCCATTTGATTATCCAGAATACCAAGGTCCGTCAATTCCATACCTTACCACGTACCTCGTGGTTCCTGACTTGCTTCGCCCTCTTTCGTTGGCAATACATCCAGCTGGATGACGCTGACAATGCTATCTTCCTCCCGGAATTAGAGATCCTCTATCATATGCGAGCTTACTTTCCCCTCTGCCGTCCTTGCCGTGCGTCTGAACCGGAAACGACTCGCCGTCGTCCTCGAATCCGAGATCTACCTCTACGACATCTCCAACATGAGCCTCGTTTACACCATTCCCACGTCCCCGAACCCCAACGCCATCTGTGCACTTTCGCCGTCGTCCGAGAACTGTTACATCGCGTATCCTATGCCGAAACCGCGAGAGGACTCGGGCGACAAGCGCCCTGCCCATGCACCCCCGCTTTCCAACTACGTCGCCCCGACGTCGGGTGAGGTGCTCATTTTCGATACCGTCGCGTGCAAATCCGTCAACGTCATCGAGGCCCATCGCTCCCCTCTCTCCTGCGTATCGCTCAACAGCGAGGGCACGCTGCTAGCCACCGCCAGCGAAACCGGCACCATCATCCGCGTCTTCTCCGTGCCCCGGGGCCAGAAGCTCTACCAGTTCCGCCGCGGCACATACCCGTCCACCATCTACAGCATGTCCTTCAATCTCGGATCCACATTACTCTGCGTCTCCTCCACCTCCGACACCGTCCACATCTTCCGCCTCGGTGCGTCGCCCGCTACAGCTACCGCGGCGGGGTACATCGACTCGTCGTCATCGTCCTCGCCCCGCCAAGACCGCTGGTCCCGAGCACGCAGCTACGACACCGACTCTCCCGCCGGCAGCGCGACAGGCTCGCCACGGAGCGACTTTGGCGAAGCCGCGTCCTCTTCCAACGGCGGCGCCGCCAGTTCCTCCGGCCCTCCGCACGCCAACCCCCACTCCCACAAGAGGCAGAGCGGCTCCTTCAGCAGCATGCTCCGGCGCTCGTCGCAAATCATGGGCCGCAGCGTGGCCGGGGTCGTCGGCTCGTACCTCCCCCAGACGGTCACCGAGATGTGGGAGCCGCAGCGGGATTTCGCCTTCATCAAGATCCCCAAGTCGTCGGCTTCCGGCGCGGCGCCTTCCCGCGCAAATAATACCGCGAGCGGTGCTCCGCCCTACCCCTTGGGAGGACCCTTGCGAAGCGTCGTTGCTATGAGTAGTAGCAGCCCGCAAGTCATGGTCGTCACCAGCGATGGCGGCTTTTACGTCTTCAACATCAATATGGAGCAGGGAGGAGAAGGATATCTCGTCAAGCAATCTTCGTATGTCCCCATTCACCCCCGCCCGCCCCCTTCTCTCTATTGCTCTGTTGCGATTCTCTTTGACTGACAACCACCGCCCCCCCCTTTCGTCGCATTGGGGCTTGCTAGACTTCTGGAAGGAGACGACAAGTTGGACGTCTCGTCCTACGGGGGTGTAGCAGCATGATGGATGTTCTCGTTTCCTTCCACTCTCGAGCGCCCCGGTGGACTCGGAAGAAGGATCCAGTGTGCTATTTCTCTCGTGTTACAATCCTTGGCTTCTAGACATTGCCGGTTTCATCTTATTTTTGCCGGCGCAATGGCCATGGAGAGATGGGAGCTCTCTGGCTTTCCTCTTGTACGGCGTTTCCAAGGCGCATGCATTGTATGGGCGTTTCACGGATGAGGCGACGACCAGGGGAGAGGACTTTTGCAGTTAGTGCCATTCAGCTGTTCGGGTCCTGCGGCGAACACAACCAAGTAATATTTTATGATTTTTGACCCTCCAAAACCTTATCCTGTACAGCACGCCGTTTCTATCTTGTTTACAATGACCTTCTCTCGTCCCGTGTCAACTCGGGGTATCGGGGATTTCCCCCCGAGGCCAGTCGGGATATTGGACAATGTCAACCTGGTTCACACGTCTCGTAAGGTGGATGGTTTGCGATATCCGTTGTTCAGTGCCCTGCGCCCTGCGCCCTCCGCAGTTGTGTATTGTTTCGTCCTCATTCATGTCTCAGAACTGTAAATACATCATCAATTCCGGCCTCTCCTCGTATTCGTCAGAGCCTATCCAAAGCGCCCAGCCTGTCCAGTCCACAAAGCACGACCCATGGTCGCCAGCAACGCCACGCGATCAAGTACGAGGACCGTTTGAGAAGAAAACATCGAAAAAGAAAAGAAACGCGACGCGACGCGGGAAAGATCATGAATATGCCCGAGCCGCCTAGTAACGAAGACCAAAATATCTGCGATGCCAGGGTAGAACTGTGCATATGGCGGACATGACAATGTGTGATATCGAAACTCGTTTCATCCAGATGCGGAATTCAAAATCCGCTTCGTTGACGCTCTCTGTTCCCCATAGACATTTCCGGCTCTAACCCATAACTATTATATGGCGCTTAGGAAGAGACATACATACTTCGTACTTCGTATGAGGAACGCCTCATTATTCGAAACCAAGGAGCTTAAAGTCACCTCGCATAAGGTCGGTTCATCAAGGCAATTTCGCGGGTGATCTCACCCCACTCGAGCTCCCTCTTAAGTCCCGAGCCACCATTCTTCCTCGTCTGCAACTCCTCTTCCCACTTTAGGAGTTCGTAGACAAATCGAAGATGCGGCTGGATGATAACGTTTAGCCTGCGAGCGCGGACAAAGCAGTACGCTCGGGGAAATGTGAGATCCAGCTCTCGCATCACCTCGGCAATGCAAATTGTCGCGCTTCGGGAGACCCCCACTCTGCAGTGGACCAGGGTCGCGGTGCCATTTCGCCTACCACGCTCTGAGGAACACCGTCGCGTTAGCATACGTGGACCCCAGTGGGCAGAGAAAAGGCCCAAGATAAACACCAGACGCCAACCTACCGATAAATTTCAGGCACCCCTCAAACTCGTTTGTCAGAGGGTCGATGCCGTTGTCCTGCACGCCTTGGATGACGCGCACGTTATCCGGTCCCCATTCCTGCAATTCACCATCCCGCCACATCGCGGTCTCCCCGACACTGAGAATCTGACCAATGCCGAGAGCCCTCAGGAGGTCTGGGTTATTGGCATGGTTAAGATTGCCCAGATACATGTAGTCGAGGATGCGGCTAGGGAACGAGCCATCCAGGCCTGCAATCCAGGGAGGCTCTTTGATCAGAGCGTCGATCTCGGATAGGCGTTTCCTGGCGTGGACCGGCGACTCGCGCAGCAGTCGAGACTCGATGCAGGTGAGTAGAGCTACATCGGATGGGTAGGCAAAGAAGTTACGGCGTTTTTCCGTGTGAAGGTGCAACCAGGCGTCAGGCACTCCCCGGCCCGTGCTGTAGCTCAAGTACGCGATCCCGAGCATGGTCGACTCGGTATACCCATCGGCGCAGTGGACGAGGATTTTCATAGGGCGGCGACTAGGCAGCTCCTCCTTCAGCTCTTCCTCGTCCTCTTCCATGTCGGTGTCGCCATCCAGATCCAGGTTGTCATCGCCGGGAAACGTGCCGTGGGCTAGATGATAGATCCACTTACACGTCTCCAGTATGCCATCAGCCTCTGCCTGGGACCAGGTGGGCGGTGACACGCTGCCAGAAGAGGGGAAGTCGAGGAATGGGTGGCGAGTGTCCCTCTTGCGCGACTGCGCGATTGCCTTCAAGGCCGTCGGATTCATGCGCCCGACATCGCTACATTCGATGAGAATATCGAATTGCGCCGCATCGTCGGTGGACGGGTCCGGCGTCGGACCGAGCCAAACGTTATGTGATATCTCCGAGGCCTTGGCCATGTCATACATTTCCTTCCTCTCCTGGTGGAAGAGGTCAACGACGTTACCCGTCAGCCGACCATGTGAATCGATTGCAACGACTTCGGGGCACTTCTCTTCAAAGGTCCGAAACGGGTCCACGCATATGAAGGTATTGTATTCAGGTATTGTGTGGCCCTGGGCTTCATGCCTCTGCCGCCATCGAAACTGAGCAGCAGCAACGTCCCAGCCCAGCTTGCGGACAAGAGCGGTATCATCACCGTAGATGACAATGTCGGAAAGCGTGGCTGACTTGGTAGCCTGGATCTGGAAGTTTCTAACGGAAAAGCCGTCCTTGGGGTCGATATCTATGAATTCGGGGGCGGCACTGTAATCGAGGATCTCCTGGGGTGCGACGGCGCCCTTGAGTCGAGCGACGGCCAGATCCCCATCAGCCTTGATCACAGTCAGGCCGCGGACGCAAGACGGGGTCCTCCTGAGAGTCTTGCGGCGGGCGATAAAGAAGGCTTGTTGAATGTGATTGTTGATATGTAAGCCGTGAAGCCACGGGAAGACCATCGACGGGTCTGGTAGGGGCTGGCGTGATATATAATCGATGGCGGAGGTCACCTCTGCAGCCTTAATCTCGAAGAGTCGAAGAGAATCTGACTGGAGACGGGTGAACCCTCGGGGTGGATAAAGCAAGGACAAAGGCTGGACAGCGTGGCCATCTTGAGCACTCGGGGACGAATTGGTCTTTTCTGACTGCCCCGAGGTGACCGGTCCCGGGGGGCAAGTGGGAATATGCTTATTGGGGACAGCTGAGTTCGGGCTAATGGATTCGAGCGGGATGGTCGAGATGGAGCCAATGGCAGAGGAAGGCCGATGGGGCGGAAGGGGACGAGTGAGAGCAATAGTCGTCATGGTTGCCAAAAAGAACTGAGAACGCAGCGGAAGAGATGGAATGATCGCTTGTTCGCAGTACAATACAGCGGGTTCTCTCCTTGGGTAAGAATTGGCCCTTTCGAGAACCTCGCAACACTGGTTGGTGTCTTCTTGATATGGTTGTGGTACAATGTGTGTTGTGGCGACTTGCGGCCCAAGGAAACCGCAAGACAAGAGCAATCGGAGGAAATGAGGGCCTCTAGCCACGAAGGTCTGAGATACGTGCTTCGTCAGTAAGAAGCCAAAGGAATTAGGTATGGGACGAGAAAGGAGAGAAGCTCAGATGCCGGCTTACTGGGCTTTTGTTGCGTGAGGGGCTGGATGTCGTTATCGCCCATCACCAATGGCACGCAGCCAGTGACTGATAAGCAAGATTAAGGTAGGTAAGGTAGGAGTCAATGGAATGGTAGCGCGGCTGTTGGTTATCAATGCCCAGCCAGTACCGCCCAATGCTCAGCGGCTTCCTGGTTGCGCGGATATAAATCGTCGCCCTTGGTTAGGATGGTATGGTGACTACGTCGTAGGTGTGCTATGAATTACCTGTACAGAATGACGGAAATGGAATTAGTCTGCGGAAAGGCAAATAAGATATGACGAATGGTGTATAAATGGTGCAAAAGATGGCCTGGACGTGACGCGAAATAAGGTAGAGATGAAGTCAGATAGTTGAAGAAGCAAAACGGAACGAGAGATGAGAGTTGCGACGGTGGTGGTGGCGGTGATGATGGTGAGGTGGCGGTGGTGATGGCGATGGTGGTAGAGGAGATGAAGACGGAAGATGATGGAGGAGGAGAGGGGTAATATCTACGAGTACTACTAATCACGGCCCAGCTAGCAACCTGGAAGATAAAAAGGTGCGGTGGTACGGATACGTTCGCACAGTACCAAGAGGGGGAGGTGGTGGTGGTAGTGATAAGGTAATTTGAAGGGCAAATGACCGGAAAGCGTTGGAGAAAAGGGGCCTTAAGGTATGGACTAGTACATGTAGGAAGCACGGTTGTACGAGTGGGTAGCTGGGTATTACCTTACATGGAAAAGGAGAACAACTCGAGTGAGGTAGATACATATCGCATAGAGTGCGAGAGGACGGCGGTGTATATACAAACGGCAAGACACGAGATGGAGACGGTAAGACCAACAATACCAACGTATCGCCATGGCGAACCCCAGGGCCCAGGTCCCTCTTGACCTGGTTGGTCCAAGTGTGCATCGGAGACCCACCGAAGCAGATAGGGTGGGGATCTTAACCGCGTCAATGCTTCGTAGCTTTCGTAGGCTAGTCTTTATGCGGTCATAGCATGGGCTCTTGGAGGGTCACATAGCATCCTTGTGGACCTTGTGGAAGGCGCGATGGGCCACGTCTAGCACGCTAGGAGCTGGGAACGCCACTACCCCGCTTGGCCCGTGCGGGCTTCTGGGCGGTACGTTGTATGTACAGTTGGTGGTGTCGGTGTCGGTGTGGGCAAAGAACCTCCTCCAAGTCCCAACAGACAAAAGAGCCAGAGTGAGGTGCTTCACTTCCTATGTATTCAGTATTTGGCAATGATAGTTTTTGAAGCTGGAACGACGTATGAGACTTGATGGACACTCCCTGTAATTTGAATACATTCTGTTGGCATTGGATTCTCCTTTTTGAGTTGCGTGGAGCCTCTTCAGTTACTGGTTGAAACATCTCGGAGACCGGCTTCATCGACGCCATTCAATCCTTGTGCTATGACAGGTGAGGGCCTCGTATACCATATGAGGTAAGACGACGTACGAATAACAATCAGACTAGGTAGTTCACTTGACAGATGAAAGCGGATGTCTTTTTCTTTGTATTTCGCTCGGGTCCCCACGCCTTGGGACCCGGAGTCCAGACTCTTCTGCCTCCATAAAAGACCGTCGGGTGTTTCGCTGCTGAGATCCACCTCAGCCTCCGCCACCTTTATCTTTGTTGTTTCTACACGTGTAACGGTCTCGCCCACCAGACCGGGGTCTCTCGTAACTAACCTCGGAACCATCGCGATACCCCGTTAGTGAACGGATGCACCCATGAGTTTGTGGGGGGTTTGGATTTAGTGTGTAAATCCACGGGATCTCTCAATGCCGCCATTTGCCGTTGCATACTCTGTACCTTAGGTAAATAAGATCGATGCGGCTTATTACTCGGTGAAGGACTCACCAAACACGTTGCCGCCGGTAAATACACGAATAACGACAACGGTCGTCTGATTAAGGTAGGCAGGGGAGGGCTTGAGATACTGGGTTTCTTAGTCGACCGCGTCGCGCCTCCTTAGGGCTTCGTGATGCCAATGGCGGTACTAAGGAAAAGCCGAATTGAATAAACTACTCACTGGAGTCGGGCTCCTACTCATTGCCTTCTACGTCACAGGAAATTCTGAATCCTCTCGCCAACCGCTCAACGGCCAACGATCTGTGGCACAGACTTCTATGTAGCCGCTCTCGACCATATCGGTGATCGGACGTATAAGCACATGCCACCCATCCGTTCGGCAGATCATTGTTGGGTAAACTTCAGATTATGGACTACCGACGTCATCAATGCTTAGCCAAGAATATACCTGCCAAGTACCCACATTTTTATCTAAGCCCATGTTATTCAGATCTCCCCCTTATTTGGATTGCCCTCTGGTAAACTAATCTACCTACTATAAACCATTTTCTAACCGCATTTTTCCTATAATACTATTATTTATAAATCGACATTTTCGACTAAATATTTATATTTAATATGCTCAAATATAATAGAAGTATAGGAGAGGCAGCTTAATGAATAATGGTTAGAATTTCTACTTAAATAGCCAGGATTAAAATGGTTATTCCTAATAGATCCTGGTCTCTTCTCGTGGTGGGTGATCTAAATAGGGGAGATTCGAATAGTGGGGGGGTTACTTCGTATTCCGTACCTTTCCAGGTAGGTACCTTAAATCTTGAAATGCCTCCAAAACTGGTGGCTGCCTAGCCCCTAGACGATTCATCCTGTGATCCCGACGAAAGACACCGTCTCTACGTTGAGTTATGACAGCTGCAGGTCGGCGTGTCATCTGTCCATGCTCTGGCAAAACGTTTGAATCTGCTGGCTGCGATGTAGCTCTCGCTGCCTTGGAGTCTACCGATTCTGCTTCACCGCCAGATTTGGCCACGCCCCAGCTGCCTATTCCAAAAGAGTCCATGCTCCCCTGCTCCCATCTCGTGGTCTTTGCCTGCCTGTTGTCTCGGATTTCGGAACAACTGGATTCAACGACACGTCCCTCTTCTCTCTTCGAACCGATCCCTTGCATTCCTCATTCTTCTTCCGCGACGAGCTCCTCATAGATGACCTTCCCTGGAAATCACCTAGGCCATGATACGAGTTCGCTTTTACTCGGTGACACGACCCGCATCGACGTGATTACCTTTTTCCAGGCTCCTTTTCCCATGACGACCGACCATCATGTCCTCTCTGGCCCACACGTACGGAGAGAATTGCCGCTTGGCTCCCGTCTCTCGACCAGTCCAAACCGACGACGGATCCGACGAGGCACCGCCCATTGCCGCCCAATTCTTCTATACTTCCCTTATCCCCATCGACGATCCACCCTCGCACGGCACCATCGCGGGGGTCTCTGAAGCCAAATCCACAAAGGGGCGCCTGCGCCTTTTCTCTGCAGGAGATAATAACGCCCTCGAGAAGGCCTGGCTATCCATCGCGTCCGAACAAGGCCGTCGTACCCACCAGGAAGCCCGCAAATCTAAAACCCTAAGCCCAGCACTTACCGACGCCAACGCCTCAAAGCTGGCTTCGTTGATTCGCCATATTGTCAGGGAACACAGGAAGAAACATGGCGATCTCCGAGGCCCGAACCCGCTCGTCCCTCCCTCTGCCCTCGAGCCTACGACTCCCTCCGCCGCATGCTGCGCCGAGCTCCACGTGGACGTGTCCACAGAACTGCAGAACTCCTTCTGTGCCCTGCTCCGGAGACGCCATGCTTCTCTTAGCCAAGAATCCGTCGTTCAGGACGTCATGATGGAGATGAGAGGTCTGTCGTCCGAGCCCGCCGCTGGCGATGCTATCACCGCCGCTAGCGGGGAGCACACTGAACCCATCGTCTCAGGGAAAGGTACATTTGAAAGTCCGTCGACAGATCCCCGTCGTTTCCCGAACGCCCCGAGCCAGTCCGGACAAGGAGAAGAACCCCTTTCCAGCAGTGTCAAGGGAGGAGGACAGTGGATGGCCTCCCGCGCTATTGAGGATATTCGCCGCCCACGTACGCCGACCTTTCCCCCTCGGCACTCCGCTAATGACGGAATATCTGGCACACCCTTCGCACGAGTTGAGAGTCACAGCACAACCCCGGAGGCTGGGACTCCCATTCTTTCACCTGTGGACCGTCCGGCTGGCATGGTAGCCGAAAACGAACGTCGGCGTGTTGAGACCGTCCCAGGGCGCTCAGACAGGGCCCCAAGTCTCGCAGCATCCGACAGAGAGATAGACTCCTCCTATAAGACAAATACCGTGGATGTCCCCGTCGGTGTATCTCGCCTTCACATGGTGTCTCTCCCCGCTCTCCAGATGAAGCCGATATACTGGTCACCAGTCAACGACATTGCCGTCGTGTTGAGAGCTACATGGTTCTACAGGTGAGTCAAATTCATACATACCATCTCCACGCTCTCCGGCCTTCAGTCTTCATCCCAGCGTATCAACCGCAAACTGATTTATTACTTTTAGAGATACCATGCTCCCCGTTCCTTCCGCCGTTGCGAATCAACTCGAATCGGGCTACCAAGAGCTGCGGCCATACACGGAAACATGGAATGACGAACTTCGCTGTGCTATTGATGTCGGGCCATTGGGGGAAGAAAAGGTCTCTCACCGCCTATGGCCCGAGAGACCGGGGATATCAAGCGACGAAGGCCTCGGCGCTGACGACACAGCCATATCAACCGATCCGTTCTGCGCCGCCAGGTGCTTCCGTGGTGAAGCAGCAGCCCAGGGCTCGACTGATCCGGAACCTGGACAAGGCGCGGCGCAACACAAGAGCTTTCATAGCTATCATGTCATATACAAAGACGCCTCTTGCGCCTTCTTGTTGAAGCCAAGCCTCAAACCCTCGGCGTACTATGGAAGGCGCCCGGTCGCGAAGATCATGAAAGGCGTCACTGTGGGCATCCCCGTCGTACGAGGGTTCGATCCGGAAGCGTGGGAGCGTCTACACGACAAAGCTTCTCGGCGCAAGGCTCGTCAGCCAAGTATGGGGAGTTCTCCCGACGACTTGAGACAGGCCGTGTGCCCAGCTTGCAGAGCACAGAAGGATCGCGGTCAGATCACCGATCTGGTCCTCGTCTGTCACGGCATTGGCCAGAAGTTCGCCGAGAGGGTTGAGAGCTTCCATTTCACGCACGCCATCAACGCCTTCCGAAGAGAAGTCAACCTGGAGCTTGGAAACCCCGCCGTAAGGGGGATACTGCGAGATGACCAGAACGGCATTATGGTTCTTCCCGTCAACTGGCGCCACACACTGTCCCTCGACGATGGCGGACCCATGTCGGAGGAGGAGAAGGCGAACATCGCGCCCGATAGCTTTGGGTTAAAAGACATCGAGCCGAAAACCATCCCCGCCGTGCGTAGCTTAATTTCGGACATCATGTTCGATATACCTTTCTACATGTCCCACCACAAGGGGAAAATGATCGAGGCCCTGGTGATAGAGGCTAACAGGGTGTACCGTCTGTGGTGTCGCAACAACCCGGGTTTCCAAGACCATGGTCGTGTGCACCTTATAGGCCACTCGCTGGGAAGTGCCATGGCCGTCGACATTCTCTCCCGACAGCCCAACCGACCCCCTCCCTTGGATCTCTCCTCGCCGGTGCCGCACACCACCCACTTTGAGTTCGACACCAAGAACCTGTTCCTCGTAGGTAGTCCGGCCGGATTCTTCCTACTCCTCGAGAGAGGCTGCCTCGTTCCTCGAAGAGGCCGCCTGAAGCCGGGCGCCGATCCCGGCGACGTCCACTCCCATAATGTGACCGGCCAAGCCGGCTCCTTCGGCTGCTTGGCGGTAGACAACATCTACAACGTCCTGGCCAAGGAAGACCCGATCGCCTACCTCCTCAACGGCACCATCGATCCTGTCTACGCAGCCAGTCTGCAGACCGCTTACGTCCCGAGCACCGCCACTTCGTTCTTCCAATACATCGGCGACGCGGTCTGGGGTCTAGTTCCGGGAGCGACGCGGCAGGCGGGCGCAAGCGGCGTCCTGGACCCGATGGCGGCGACCCAGAAACCCCTGGCTGTCACGCGCCTCCCGTCGCAGCTCGAACTCGAAGTGCACGACTTCACCCGCGAGGAGATGGCCGAGCGCAAAGCCTACCTGCTCAACGATAACGGGCAGATCGACTACTTCCTCCGCTCCGGCGGGGGTCCGCTCGAGATTCAGTACCTGAACATGTTGAGCGCACACTCTAGCTACTGGCTCAGTCGCGACTTCATCCGGATGCTGTGCATGGAGGTTGGCAGGAGGCCGGGACGGGCGCATGCACTGCCTGCCATGAGGGCGCAAAGGGCCAAGAAACCCGTATTGGGAGCCTGAAGGGCGCATCCGCCCCCTTCTCTCTCTTTTTCTTTTCCCGCTCTCTTTTTTATTGTTATCTTTTTCCCCCAATTTTCAACATGATAAACATGAGAACATGATAGTTTGACAAGCCACGAATAGCAAGGCGTCGGCGAGATTTCACAGCTACAACCCTTTTTCATTTTCCCCGTTGAAGGGCTAGGAGGGCGTTACGGCGGGAGTTGGTGTAACATCATACTCGCAGACTGTTTTCGAGACGGTATCGCTTTTCTCGTCATTGACATGAGAGCGCTCGTTTCCCCATCACCATGAAAAAATTACGGATAAGCTGTGACGATAGGTGCGGATAGAATACATGATAGATTAATTCAGACGGCATCATCTGAATGAAATTCCGCCATTGGGGCTGGCTAGACTGGAAACCCCCCCTTTCCCTATTAGTGCCGACTTCCGTCTTAGAAGCCGTCATCATCGATTTCCATGAAATCTTCATCCAATCCGTCCGCCATCCCGTAGTCATCTGAAGCCTCAGCTTGGTCACCCTTGCCCTCGTCGCCCAGAGCCTCCAATTCGCGGATGCGCTCCAAATCCATCTTCTCCTTGTGTTTCATCAGGTCCTCGTAGGTCCAGGTGCTCACGCCTTCCTGGTCTTTAGCCCGGAAGGGCTGGGCCATCTGCTTGAGGAAGCGGCGCGCCGAGCTGACGGCCATGTCGGTGCTCAGGTTCGTGTCGACGTCCAGGAGGCTCTGGCTGATCCACTTGGGGAGCTGGTTGCGCTTCTTCTGAAAGCGACGGTCGGCGAGGACCATGACGCCGTAGTCGTCCTTGCCGCGGATGACGCGGCCGAGGCACTGGGCGGCGTGGCGCATGGCGTCGAAGGAGAGGAAGTCGTTCTCGCGGATGTGGTACGTCTCCCGCAGGAACTCGAGGCGGGCCTTGAGGATGCGCGACTCGGTGTACTGGAAGGGCACGCCGATGTTGAGCACCGCCCGGCCGTACTGGTGGTCAAAGTCGATGCCCTCGGAGACTTTGCCTCGGGCGACGCAGAGGAGAATGGCGCCGCGGCCGTTGCAGCAGGCCGTACGGTACGTCTCCAGGGCGAGCGACGTCTCCTGTGCGTCGGGTGTCTCGACGAGAATGAGCTTGTACTTCCACACCTCGTCCAAGATGCCCATGCCCTGCCACATGCTGATGATCGACTCCATGTAAAGATATGAGGGGAAGAAAACGACCATGCCATCTGGGGTGATTTTGGCAAACTCCGTTAGGAGGCTGCCGTAGTTACGCACAACGCTTGGCTCATTCCGGACCTGGAAGCTGGTCGACACGGAGGCCTGGTCGCTGCCGCGGGTGACTATCAGTGGTAAGAATGAGCGCCTTGCCAGGGTCATGGCGTACGACTCTTGCACTACGGTCGGGAAGTCGAGCATCTTCGGGTACATCTCAAGAGGAGACATAGTGCCTGATGTGATGATGACTGAGCTGAACCGATCAAAAACGGGCTTGATGGCAATGGCGGCGTCAAGACATGCAAAATGCAGAACCGGATTGGGAACCTCGGCAGTGTCTGATTCGAAAGGCTCCAAGATGAGTACGAAGCCTTTCTCGTATGTGGCGACCAGGGTAGCAAAGGTGGCAACCTCTTGCAGGGGCTGGTAGTCTTCGATGTTGGTCAATTCGAGGGTTCGTACGAGCGATGTGAGACGTTCAGCGCAGAACCTCAGCGGTTTCCTCTCGATGAAGGTGAACTCTTTCAAATGCGCGAGAAAGGACGGTGGTGTTTCGGAAATGGTGTTGCGAACTTTCATGCGTGTCTGCAAGGTCCATCAGCGAAGGATGTTCACATGGGATGCACTCCGACGCAGGCGTAACTGACCTTGAGGTATTCGATAAACCTCTTGAGGAATGCTACGAAGTGTTCCGCTCTCCTGATATTGCCAGGGATAGCCTCTTTCAGAAGATCATCCGGCAATGCTACGTGGGTAGAAGGGTCATACAGTCAGCCGGTGACCTAGATATTCGCGGTGAACCCTTGGAAAGAAGGAGGTTTCTCACCTGGATTGGCCATGAAGGCGTCCTCTTGCCGGGCTTCATCGGCGTCCCTTAGCCCTTCGACAAGCTTCTGGTACTCATTTTGCAGTTGTTCCTGATCTGTGTCCTTCATTTCACTGATTCGTCTTTCAAGATTCTGGGCCCCTCTTGCGGCTTTTCGGAGAGAATCTTCGGTGATATCCGTGCTCAACGACTCGATGCAGACGTTGTCGATGTTATGTGCTTCGTCGAAAACGACGATGCAGTCCTTGGAAAGTTCTCGGGATACGCGTTCGGCGATTTTAGGATCCAGAAGATAGTGGTACGAGTAGATGATGACGTTGCAATATTGCATCTTGAAAGTGTTGCCCTCGTCAGTCAAGGCTCGGGGGTAGATGCTGAGACCGACACTCACCATGCGTCTAGCGGTAAAATACGGGCATTGTTTGTGCTGCTCGCCATACCGCAGGAGACCGTCAAAAGTCCAGACTCCATTTGGAATGAGGTTATGAGGCTCAAGAAGATCGAGATTCTAGTCCTCGTCAATAACACACAATGACGACGACGTTTTCGGGGGATGGGAGCTTTCAACTGACATCGTGGTAAACGCAAACTTCCACATTCTCGCCCTTCTCCTTCTTTTCCTTGATAAAACCAGCAGTCAGACTGCGACAGCGTGCATCCACGATGGTCCCGCTCTTCTCCCGCTTGACAGAAGGATGCAGACACAGGTTTTTTCGACTTGTGAGGCCCAACCCCCTGAAGTCCTCGTCATGGCCTAGTTTCCCCGCTCGAAACTTCATGAGGGCCTTCAGTTCGGCCAGAGCCTTCTCAATCTCCGACATGGTACCTAGAACCGGTCAACATTCTACGAAGGGTGGCGGAATTTGGCTGCGAAAGAAGGGACCCGTACGAGAGCAGTAGATCAGCTTGCGGTGCTCGGGGTAGTGCTGCTGATAGGCGACAATAAGCGACAGCAGCGACACAGTCTTTCCTGTTCCCGAGGGCATCTCGAGAACGCAGTGACCCCCTGCGTCCAAGGTCTCTGGAGCAAAGTTAACAAGTGCCTTCCTTGAAAACCTTCATGAAGAAGACGACGCACTTTTAAGATCGCACATGTAACTACAAGTATCGCAGTCAGCATATCTATTTGAATGATTGACCAGCGGATAAAGATCTGCCAATGTCTGTAGAATAACTCACGCATATTGCTCCGGATAGATCCTCGGATAGGGGAAGAGTATTGGCAAGTCACTGGGAGATCCAGGTTAGCACACTTCGGTGAGGTAGGTATGGCCTGAACGCACTCGATGAAGAACTCCATGGTGAAGTTTTAGAGTGATAGAGCTGGAGTGGACGCTGAGCTAGTCGTTGAGAGGGCGTGGGTTGGGAGTCTTCGCGTGTGGGCCGGTTGTGGCCTCCCGCCCGAGGCGCAGGGGCATGGAACTTCAAGAATCGACAGAGATGTCGGTCGCCCTTCGTGTGGTGATTAGCAGTGGTCACTCTGCAGAGAGCCACGTTCGACAATATTTACTACAACTGAGGAATGATACGAGGAGTTCTAGGGTCGCTCAACGTGTTGCTCTTTCCCCCCCTACACGTCGATGCTACATGTGAATGAAAAGAGGCAAGAGATCAGGTATGACGCCAATCGGATCTTCTCAGTCTGGTGCCAAATAGCCACGCTATCACGTGACGAACAGATCATCAGCCATCCATCCACGTGATGTAGGCAAGCCATTCTGTGGCGCAGTGGTGTCAACTAATTACGTAACATAGTTAAGACGCCAAGTTGCACCTAAAGTCAGGTACCTTTACGTTGTACGGATACTTCCGTAACTTTGCATAAGCCGACTTCATAACGACCAATTTCGCCGAAACCGTGTTTTGTGATCGTCTTGCTGTAATTTTGTTTCTCCTCTTCTTACCTAAAAGTGAGATATCACCGCACGAGCGTCTCAACAATTCCCGGCAAAGCGAGTCAACTGCCTTCTTACCATTTGCACCACTGCCACGTCCCATGACCCGCACTGTGCTCAGATCGCGCACCAGAAGGATCCGGGTATACTCGGTTCCAAACAGAAGTTCCCCCTTTGATATCAAGTTTTGTTCTGGGGTTCCCCTTAAGACAGGTCGTAATCAGAACCAGGGTTATGCTACGATCCTTCGTCCTGTCGCCGCTAATACGGACTCTTATGACGGTCCGGGCTGAAGCTCGGGACTTTCACTCTCCGGTCTTGGTTGTCGAGAGCCTTGTTGAACAACGAGCTCTGTAGCCAAAGGTGCGATTCATCGCTCCTCCGCTACTCACTCAGCAAAGTGCCAGAGTCGCCCTGTCGGAGAGATATGTCAATAGATTCAAGGTATGGCCCATCTACTCTCCGTTGCTCGGGTTATAGATCCGCACTGTAGCAGCCACCACCCAGGCCCTATTCCGGGAGAGGAGAAACGACAGGGATCAACAGCCAAACTCAAGTGCCTGGCTCAAAGATGTCAACGAACGAGGCCCCGGCGCCGGTAGTGCGAATCAGGGTGTCTCTTGACATCATGATGTAATTCGTGGGAGAATACTGCTACCAGACTGCTACCAGACTAGGTTGTGTCGTCCCTTGGCCTAGTCAGGGCGCGCGTCACGGCGGACGCTCCGCCCTCCATCCGAAGCAACCGCAGGGTGGGATATAGAGTAACACATGCCTCACGGAATATTCCATGATGGAAAGCATTGGTTATGGCCGCCGGTAGTGCACTCACCGGTTTGGGTAGAGTAGGTAGGGAGCTCGCATGAAATATCCCGGGATTTCACTGAGAGTGTGTGCAAACGACCCATGCCTGAGTACACGTAAGGAACCCCACCAAGCCATACATGATAGAGAGATCCTGGAGGCGGAGGCGGAGGCAGAGGGTCTCTCGATGGCTTTGGCCAGACGTTGGACGTTGTACTGTCCGGCAGACCTCCTTGTCCTTTCCCTCTCCACTACTCCGTAATACGCGCACATACGTTCTGCCGAATCCCAGGCCGCCACTTTCGTGCTCCACACCGAGCATTCCGTGCAGCGGAACAGACCTTCACCGTTCTGAGGAAGGTTTCCGGTGACGGTGATGATTGGTCGATGGCGTCGTCGACTGTGCTGGCGGAACAAGCCTTTGGCGTCTAAATGGTGGAGGCCCCCGTGCTGATTCTTGGGAGGCCCACTCCTTCCAATATGTACGTACGCAGAGGAATCGAGTAGGAGACGTGGGACGTGGGATAGTTCGGCGAGTTTTCGAAAGAAGTTTCCGAGATTAATAAACTGGGGGGGTTTTTTCCTTTATATGGTCTTCGCAGAGTCGCAGAGTCCTCGTGCGCGTCCCTCTAATCATATTTAGGCACTTCGAGAGACCTGCGAAAGGCACCTAATTTCGGGGTGGTAGGGATGTCACGCGTGGGTCATCGAACCAACCCTAAAGTACCTAGTTTGAGTCGACCCGGAAGACCGCGCGGGGGGGCGGAAGACCGGTGCTCCGAGAAGAACAGAATTGCACCCACACGCAGGTTACACAAGCAGGGATAAAGGGACTTGCATAGCGTAGGGTAAGGTAGAGGATGGAAAATCCCGATCCGCGTACCTGCTTCGTAGCTTTGTAGTGGCGGTGTACCGCGTACCCTCGCCATACAGAGGCCCCTCCACACGAGCCTGGACGAGTTTGGAGAAAGGAAAGGTGCTCCGTGCTCCGTGCTCCGTATGGGAAACGACTATTGCACTGTAGCGAGTAGTTAGGTAATTATTACCTCGCGTTTCGCTCGCGACTACCACTATTGCTAGGCGTTTTCTTCTTCCCCAGGACGACATTCCCACGTTTCTACTTTCCCTCAAGCCCCCCCC